CAGCCTTCCCTTCGTTTCCTCATTCTGCAGAAAGAAAAAGAGGAAGTTGGCAGTTACTTTCAGCGCTCGGATTCCGTTCGATCCCGTTTTTTGGGCACTCGATTCTACCCGTCACCAGTGTGGAACTCTTGGGCAAGAGCGGCCTCTCCAGGGTTGCCCCATTGCCAGGAACATTGGTGACGACAGGTTCCTCCTTAAGTATCATTTGAAGCACATGGAACAGGGGTCCACAAACTTTCTAAACAGAGGGCCAGGTCACAGTCCCTCAAACTGTTGGAGGGCCGGATTATAATTTGGGGAAAAAACGAATGAATTCCTATGCACACTGCACATATCTTATTTGAAGTGCAAAAACACTTAAATGCAATACAACAATTAAAATGAAGAACAATTTTGACAAATATAAACTTATTAGTATTTCAGTGGGAAGTACGGGCCTGCTTTTGGCTGATGAGATAGGATTGTTGTTGTTGTTGTGTGCTTTCAAGTTGTTTCAGACTTAGTTTGACCCTGAGCGAGGGTAAATGACCTTGGAGGTCCTCAAACCTTCGTTTGAGACCCCTAACATAGAATATGGCTTTGAAAGGCAGCAGATCACAGGAGTTGTCTTCATAGACCGTTAGCAGCTTATGATATATGTATATCACAAAGGACTACCATCTCACCCGCCTCATAGGAAACCTGCTACAAAACAGGAGCTTTTTTGTTGAGTTCCAGGGCCAGAGAAGCAGATGGCGGAAACAGAAGAACGGTCTGCCTCAGTGGAGCGTGCTTGCTCCGTCCATGTTCAACATTTACACAAATGACCAGCCACTGCCAAAAGGGATACAGAGTTTCATCTATGCTGATGATTGTGCCATCACCTACTCAAGCAGGGAGCCTTGAAATGGTTGAACAGAAGCTCTCTGAAGCTCTAGGTGCCCTTACCGCCTATTACAGGGAAAACCAACTGATCCCTAATCCATCTAAAACACAGACATGTGTTTTTCACCTTAAGAACAGACAAGCATCCCGAACTCTGAGGATCACCTGGGAAGGAATCCCACTGGAGCATTGTAGCGCACCCAAATATCTGGGAGTCACTCTGGACCGTGCCCTGACCTACAAGAAGCACTGCCTGAATATCAAGCAAAAAGTGGGTGCTAAAAGCAATATCATACGAAAGCTGACTGGCACAACCTGGGGATCACAACCTGACAAAGTGAAGACATCTGCCCTTGTGCTATGCTACTCTGCTGCTGAGTATGCATGCCCAGTGTGGAACACATCTCACCAGTGGATGTGGCTCTTAATGAGAAATGCCGCATTATCACGGCATTTCTCACTGTGCCTACACCACTGAAGAAACTACACTGCTTAGCCGGTATTGTACCACCTGACATCCGCCGGGAAGTAGCAGCCAATAATGAAAGGACCAAGGCAGTGACATCTCCAGCTCATCCCTTGTTTGGGTATCAGCCAGCACGTCAACGACTTAAAACAAGAAATAGTTTTCTAAGATCTACAGAGACACTCGCTGGAACACCTCAGCAAGCGAGAGTCCAAAAGTGGCAGGCTCAAACCCAGAACTGATACCAAATGAGAGACTCCCCCCTGGGCACACAGAAAACTGGGTGACTTGGAAGGCGCTGAACAGACTGTGCTCTGGCACCACGAGATGCAGAGCCAACCTTAAGAAATGGAGCTACAAAGTGGAATCCACGACATGCGAGTGCGGAGAAGAGCAAACCACTGACCACCTGCTGCAATGCAAGCTGAGCCCTGCCACATGCACAATGGAGGACCTCCTTGCGGCAACAACCAGAGGCACTCCAACTGGCTGGATACTGGTCAAAGGACATTTAATCAACTACCAAGCTTGCAAATTTTGTATTTTGTCTGTTTGTTTTTTTTTAAATGTAATACAACTGTCTGGTTGCTCCTAATCATTTGATGAGACACTTTGGGCACCAAGTATTTGGGGGCAGCTTTGGACCCTGCAAACACTTATTTGGAGACTCTTAGAGAAGGTATGGGCAAACTTTGGCCCTCCAGGTGTTTTGGACTGCAACTCCCACAATTCCTAACAGCCTAGCGGCTGTTAGGAATTGTGGGAGTTGCAGTCCAAAGCACCTGGAGGGCCAAAGTTTGCCCATGCCTGGATTAGAGCACTGGGTTCGGATCCCACCTTGGTCACACTCTCTCAGCCTCAACGTAAAGAAAGGGCAAACCCTTCCAAACAAACCCACGGAAATCAGAAGTTGGAAAGGACTTGAAGGCAGGCAACAACAACAACAGCCTGCTCTGCTGTACTTCCGCCTTCGCAAACCCGCTTGCCCTTTGTGCCACATTAATATCCCAGCCTTCACAAAGATAATAACTTTCGCTGACGCAATCTGGCCCTTTGTTCCTTCCTTAACCCCGTAAATGACATTTGGACTTTTTCTCCTGCTGCCAAGGCCGTGCTGTTCACAAACACTTCCTATGCGTGCCCTTAAAATAATGCAGGCGCTTTCAAAGAGTGGTCGGTTTAAAGAGGCTTCGAGGTCCAGTTTTAAAGCTACAGAACCAAAGTCATTCCCTCCTTCCCAGTTCCTTATTTGTAACAAATATGTAAGTGATTAGTATCTACCGTATATAAGAGGGTTGAATGAAAAGTAATGCCTCCACCTTCGTAACTCATTAACAGATGGCAGTACTGGTATGCGGCAGGTACTAGCTTGTTCAGTAGACTCTCCTCTACAGTTCCATTTTGCGTTTTCTCCTTCCCATTTCCTTATTTGTGACCAGTAAGTATCTGCTGTGTATACGAGGGTTGAATGAAAAGTAATGCCTCCACCTTCGTAACTCATCAACAGATGGCAGTACTGGTATGTGGCAGGTACTAGCTTCTTCAGTAGACTCTCCTCTACAGTTCCATTTTGGGTTTCCTCCTTCCCATTTCCTTATTTGTGACCAATAAGTATCTGCCGTATATACGAGGGTTGAATGAAAAGTAATGCCTCCACCTTCGTAACTCATCAACAGGTGGCAGTACTGGTATGTGGCAGGTACTAGCTTGTTCAGCAGACTCTCCTCTACAGTTCCATTCTGGGTTTCCTCCTTCCCATTTCCTTTTTTGTGACAAATAAGTAAGCAATGAGTATCTACCGTTTATATGAGGGTTGAATGAAAAGTAATGCCTCCACCTTCGTAACTCCTCAACAGATGGCAGTACTGGTATGCGGCAGGTACTGGCTTGTTCGGTAGACTCTCCTCTACAGTTCCATTTTGGGTTTCCTCCTTCCCATTTCCTTTTTTGTGACAAATAAGTAAGCAATAAGTATCTACCGTATATACGAGGGTTGAATGAAAAGTAATGCCTCCACCTTCGTAACTCATCAACAGATGGCAGTACTGGTATGCGGCAGGTAATAGCTTATTCAGTAGAATCTCCTCTACAGTTCCATTTTGGGTTTCCTCCTTCCCATTTCCTTTTTTGTGACCAATAAGTTTCTGCCGTATATACGAGGGTTGAATGAAAAGTAATGCCTCCACCTTCGTAACTCATCAACAGATGGCAGTACTGGTATGTGGCCGGTACTAGCTTGTTCAACAGTACTAGCTTGTTCAGTAGACTCTCGGAGCCCCCAGTGGCGCAGTGGGTTAAACCCCTGTGCCGGCAGGACTGAAGACCGACAGGTCGCAGGTTCAAATCCGGGGAGAGCGCGAATGAGCTCCCTCTATCAGGTCCAGCTACTCATGCGGGGACATGACAGAAGCCTCCCACAAGGTTGAGAAAACATCAAAACATCCAGGCTCCCCCTGGGCAACGTCCTTGCAGACGGCCAATTCTCTCACAACAGAAGTGACTTGCAGTTTCTCATGTTGCTCCTGACACGACAAAAAAAAAAAAGTAGACTGTCCTCTACAGTTCCATTTTGGGTTTCCTCCTTCCCATTTCCTTTTTTGTGACAAATAAGTAAGCAATGAGTATCTACCGTTTATATGAGGGTTGAATGAAAAGTAATGCCTCCACCTTCGTAGCTCATCAACAGATGGCAGTACTGGTATGCGGCAGGTACTAGCTTATTCAGTAGAATCTCCTCTACAGTTCCATTTTGGGTTTCCTCCTTCCCATTTCCTTTCTTGTGACCAATAAGTATCTGCCGTATATACGAGGATGAATGAAAAGTAATGCCTCCACCTTCGTAACTCATCAACAGATGGCAGTACTGGTATGTGGCAGGTACTAGCTTGTTCAGCAGTACTAGCTTGTTCAGTAGACTCTCGGAGCCCCCAGTGGCGCAGTGGGTTAAACCCCTGTGCCGGCAGGACTGAAGACCGACAGGTCGCAGGTTCAAATCCGGGGAGAGCGCGAATGAGCTCCCTCTATCAGGTCCAGCTACTCATGCGGGGACATGACAGAAGCCTCCCACAAGGTTGAGAAAACATCCAGGCGCCCCCTGGGCAACGTCCTTGCAGATGGCCAATTCTCTCACAACAGAAGTGACTTGCAGTTTCTCAAGTCGCTCCTGACACGACAAAAAAAAAAGTAGACTGTCCTCTACAGTTCCATTTTGGGTTTCCTCCTTCCCATTTCCTTTTTTGTGACAAATAAGTAAGCAATGAGTATCTATGTTTATATGAGGGTTGAATGAAAAGTAATACCTCCACCTTCGTAACTCATCAACAGATGGCAGTACTGGTATGCAGCAGGTACTAGCTTGTTCAGTAGACTCTCTACAGTTCCATTTTGGGTTTCCTCCTTCCCATTTCCTTTTTTTGTGACAAATAAGTAAGCAATGAGTATCTACCGTTTATATGAGGGTTGAATGAAAAGTAATGCCTCCACCTTCGTAACTCCTCAATAGATGGCAGTACTGGTATGCGGCGGGTACTGGCTTATACACAGATTGGGCCACAGCAACGTGTGGCAGGGGACAGCTAGTAATAATAATAATAATTTATTATGCAGGAACAAAAATGACGTTGCATAGTGTTATTTTTTCAGTCCCTAAATCCTATTTCTTTGTCCTCAGGAGGGAGGCACTGGAGGCGGCCAATCCATGGGCAACGACCGGGTGAAGAACCTCCAGAGCGAGGTGGAAGGAGTCAAGAACATCATGACGCAGAATGTGGAGCGGATGTTGGCCAGAGGGGAGAACCTGGACCACCTGCGCAACAAGACGGAGGACCTGGAAGCCACGGTGGGGCCCCAAAGGGGCGAGGAAGGGGCTCCCCGGTTGTGGACAAGAGCCTGAGCCTTATCCCTCTCCTCCAGATCTGGCTCAGCTCTCACTTCCCCCAACTGCTGTCAATGTGCAGATTTGTCCACGCTGCTTAGTTCAAAATAAGTATTGAGGCCCTAAGGGCCATCTAATAATAATAATAATAATAATAATTATTATTATTATTATTATTATTATTATTATTATTATTATAATCTTTATTTATACCCCGCCACCATCTCCCCAATGGGGACTTGGAGCGGCTTACATGGGGCCAAGCCCATAATACAACAAAATTATTATCCAGCTCCAAGAAAGAGATGGACAAGCTGGAGTGTGCCTTTGTCATGAGTACTATTTGAACCTTTAAAATGTTATTTACCATATAGAATCATAGAGTTGGATGAGACCTCATGGACCATCTAGTCCACCCCCCTGCCAAGAAGCAGGAAAATTGCATTCGAAGCACCCCCGACAGATGGCCATCCAGCCTCTGTTTAAAAGCTTCCAAAGAAGGAGCTTCCACCACACTCCAGGGCAGAGAGTTCCACTGCTGAACGGCTCTCACAGTCAATATACTCAAGTATAAGCCAAGTTCTTCAGCCCTTTTTTTAGGCTGAAAGAGCCCCTCGACTTATACTCGAGTCAATGTTTTTTATTATGTTACTCTGGTTATTTATTATTTTACTCTGGTTATTTATTACCGTATATACTCAAGTATAAGCCGACCCGAATATAAGCCGAGGCACCTAATTTTACCACAAAAAATTGGGAAAATGTATTGACTCGAGTATAATCCAAGGGTGGGAAATGCAGCAGCTACTAGTAAATATCAAAATAAAAATAGATACCAATAAAATTATATTAATTTAGGCATTAGTAGGTTAAATGTTTTTGAATATTTACTTAAAACTGTAATTCAAGATAAGACTGTCCAATTCTGATTAAACCATTATTCTAACCTTCTTCAATGTAAATCTTCTTACATGTCCTCCAATAATAATATATAGAGTATAATAATAATACAGTAAAATAATAAATGAAACAATAACAATAATAAATGGAGTAAAATAATAAATGTAATAATAACAACAATAATGAAATAATAAATGAAATAATAATAACAATAATAACAACAACAACAAAGTAAAATAATAAATAACACTGACTCGAGTATAAGCCGGGGAAGATTTTTTCAGCCTAAAAAAAGACTGAAAAGCTAGGCTTATACTCGAGTATATACAGTATTTTTTATTATAATTTTAATCACAACAAAGTGATTGGTAATAGGCAGTAAGAGCACCTAAAGCTTCAAAGAGCTTCTATTTCAAAGCTCTCTACTTGAGCGGTGATAGCATGAACGTCTGCATAGATGGTACTCTCTGTCCCTTCGGGCAGTGGCCGATCATTGGAAGCCCATTGAGAATGTCCCATTGAGGAGAATCATAGAATCAAAGAGTCGGAAGAGACCTCATGGGCCATCCAGTCCAACCCCCTGCTAACATTACTTTATTAATGTTATGACATGTATTATTTTACAATATTTATTATTGTTATTATTGCATTTATTATTTTACTCTATTTATTATTATTATTATGACATTTATCATTTTACTCTATTATTATTTATTTATTAATTTACTTTATTAATGTTATGACATGTATTATTTTACAATATTTATTATTGTTATTATTACATTTATTATTTTACTCTATTATTATTATTACATTTATCATTTTACTCTATTATTATTACTTTATTATTGTACTTTATTATCGTTATTATTACATTTATTATTTTACTCTATTATTACTGTTATTCCATTTCCATTATTTTACTCTATTATTATTATTACATTTATTATGCTACTCTCTTTATTATTATCCTGTCCAACCCCCTGCTAAGAAGCAGGAAAATTGCATTCAAAGAACCCCCAATAGATGGCCATCCAGCCTCTGTTTAAAAGCCTCCAAAGAAGGAGCCTCCACCACACTCCGGGGCAGAGAGTTCCACTGCTGAACAGCTCTCACAGTCAAGAAGTTCTTCCTAATGTTCAGGTGGAATCTCCTCTTTGACTTCAGAGCCTCGATGGCCATCTGTCAGGAGTGCTTGGATTAGTTTCTGTTTGTGTTGAATGTTCTGGGTGAGAGAAACAGGTGGGGATTTGCTCTTTGTGAGGAGGAGGTGGTGGTGATGATGCGGGCCCCTCTCCTTCGTTGACCCCCCATTTCTCCCTCTTTTCCACTCCGCAGTCCGAACACTTCAAAACCACCTCGCAGAAAGTGGCCCGCAAGTACTGGTGGAAGAACGTCAAGATGATCGCCATCATCTGCGTCATCGTGGCCATCATCCTCATCCTCATCATCCTCTTTGCCACTGGCGTCATCCCCACCTAAGCCTCCACCGGACCTCCAGTGACCACTCCGTTGTGCCTTTGTCCACTCCGACGATGATCACTCCGCCGTGCCTTTGGCCACTTCACCCCTCTCCTTCCCTTTCTCCTTTCTAATCAAGAGGCCGCTGTGACATCTTTGGACATCTTCTCCCTCCTTCCATCTGCTTTCATGGCCAGATTCACTGGGTTGTTGTGTGCTTTCCGGGCTGTATGGCTATGTTCCAGAAGCATTCTCTCATGACATTTCGCCTGCATCTATGGTAGGCATCCTCAGAGGTTGTGAGGTGACCTCAGGCCCCTTCCTTTTCCCCCTCAGTTGCTTAAGCGGCTGAGGGGGAAAAGGAAAGGGCCTGAGGTCACCTCACAACCTCTGAGGATGCCTACCATAGATGCAGGCAAAACGTCAGGAGAGCATGCTTCTGCAACATAGCCCTACAGTCTAGAAAACAAACAAGAAACCTTTCTCTTTAGTGGGGTGAAAACAGGGCCAAACTGGTCTTCCTTTCCTAAAAAACGAGTTTTTCTGCTTTCTTTCCTGACTTTTTTTTTTGTCCCTTTTTACCTTCAAATAGAGACAGGAAGCCCGACAAAGGAGCCAGTTCGTATTGCCACCGTCTTGAGAGATTTGGGTTTCTATCCCCCCTGTGATTTCTATCCAACTTCTCTTTCGTAGATAACAATTCTCTAGTTGTAATAAATGTATTTATAAGCCACTTTCTAATACAGAAATATCTCTTCCGAAGACGATGGCCTCCGTGGGTGTCATTTCTCTGTCTTATGTTTTTTATTTTGTACTAGCCGTTGGTGTGGCCCACATGGGTGTTCTGTGTGGGAGGTTTGGCCCAATTCCATCATTGGTGGGGTTCAGAATGCACTTTGATTGTAGGTGAACTATAAATCCCAGCAACTACAACTCCCAAATGTCAAGATTCTATTTTCCCCAAACTCCACCAGTGTTCACATTTGGGCATATTGAGTATTCGTGTTGAGTTTGGTCCAGATGCATCATTGTTTGAGTCCACAGTGATCTCTGGATGTAGGTGAACTACAACTCCAAAACCAAAGGACACTGCCCACCAAACCCTTCTAGTATTTTCTGTTGGCCATGGGAGAATTGTGTGCCAAGTTTGGTTCAATTCCATTGTTGGTGGGGTTCAGAATGCTCTTTGATTGTAGGTGAACTATAAATCCCAGCAACTACAACTCCCAAATGTCAAGATTCTATTTTCTCCAAACTCCACGTGTGTTCACATTTGGGCATATTGAGTATTCATGTAGAATTTGGTCCAGATGCATCATTGTTTGAGTCCACAGTGATCTCTGGATGTAGGTGAACTACAACTCCAAAACCAAAGGACACTGCCCACCAAACCCTTCCAGTATTTTCTGTTGGTCATGGGAGAACTGTGTGCCAAGTTTGGTTCAATTCCATCGTTGGTGGGGTCCAGAATGCTCTTTGGTTGTAGGTGAACTATAAATCCCAGCAACTACAACTCCCAAATGACAAAATCAATTTTTTTGAAGTGAAGGACATACATTGGGTTGTCAGGTGTCTTGTGTCCAAATTTGGTGTCAATTCATCCAGTGGTGTTTGAGTTCTGTTAATCCCACAAACGAACATTGCATTTTTATTTATATAGACTAGCTGTGTCCTGCCACGAGTTGCTGTGGCCCAGTCTGTGTATATGTGTTTTGTGTGTGTATATATTTCTATATATTTATATATGTGTGTTTGTGTATATATGTGGTTTTGTGCATGTGAGCGGTGGCCCAGTCTGTGTGTGTATGTGCGTATATATTTGTGTATATATGTGTGTTTGTGTATATATGTGGTTTTGCGCATGCATTGTAATATTTTTTTTGCTTTTTGGCTTTTCAAGTTTCTTCTGCTGTGTTTTTCATTGTTTTTATGAGTGATGGCCAATTGTTGGTCTGATAGGTGTCTTGTGTCCAAATTTGGTGTCAATTTGTCCAGTGGTTTTTATGTTAATCCCACAAACGAACATTACATTTTTATTTATATAGATTGGTCTGGATGGCCTTAAGTATTTTCTGTTGGTCATCCAGGTTCTGTGTGGGGAGTTTGCCCCAATTCTTTGATTATAGGTGAACTATAAATCCCAGTAACTATAACTCCCAAATGTCAGGGTCTATTTCCCTCAAACTCCATCTGTGTTCATATTTGGGCATATTGAGTATTTGTGTAGAGTTTGGTCTGGATCATTGTTTGAGTCCACAGTGCTCTCTGGATGGAGGTGAACTACAACTCCCAAACTCAAGGTCAATGCGAACCAAACCCTTCTGGTGTTTTCTGTTGGTCATGGGAGTCCTTTGTGCTAATTTCATCATTGGTGGAGCTGAGAATGCTCTTTGATTGTAGTTGAACTATAAATCCCAGCAATTACAACTCCCTAATGACAAACTCAATTTTTTTGAGTGAAGGACATACATTGGGTTGTTAGGTGTCTTGTGTCCAAATTTGTGTCAATTCCCCCAGTGGTTTTCGAGTTCTGTTAATCCTACGAACGAACATTACATTTTTATTTATATAGACTAGCTGTACCCGCCACGTGTTGCTGTGGCCAACCTTCCCTCTTTCTCTCCTTCTTTCCCTCCTTCCTTCACTCCCTCTTTCCTTCCTTCCTTCCCGTCTTTCCTTCTTCCTTCCTTCTCTGTCTCTTTCCTTCCTTCCTCCTTTTTCTTTCTCTTCTGCTGTCTCTTTTCTTCCTTCTCTCTTTCCTTCCCTCCCTCTTTTTCTACATCTTCCCCCTTCCTTCGCTCCCTCTTTGCTTCCTTCTTTCCCTTTTTTCTTTCCTTCTCTCCTTCCTTCCTTCCCTAACTTTATTTCCTTCCCCCTTTTTCTTTCCCTCCCTCTTTCTCTCCTTTCTTCTTTCTCTCTTTCCTTCCTCTCTTTCCTTCCGTGCTTCCTTCTCCCTTTCCTTCTTTCTTTCCCTCCCTCTTTTCTTTCTTTCTTTCTTTCTTTCTTTCTTTCTTTCTTTCTTTCTTTCTTTCTTTCTTTCTTCCTCCCTTTCCCTCGCTCTTTCTTCCTTTTTTCTGTATTGTCATGTAGCTTTTCGTCATTTAGCTTTTGGGGGCTTTTAAAGTCCCTTCTGCTGTGTTTTTCAGTGGTTTTTTGAGTGAAGGACATACATTGGACTGTTAGGTGTCTTGTGTCCAAATTTGGTGTCAATTCCCCCAGTGGTTTTTGAGTTCTGTTAATCCCACAAACGAACATTACATTTTTATTTATATAGATGTGTAACCAAAGCAAGCGACACAATGGGATGGTAGGCTCAAACAATAAGCAGAATTGCATGTTGTGTTTGCATGTCTCGCTTTTTGTTGACAAAGTAGAGGAGCTGCCAAAATGAATCAGTAACCTATCCAGAAAGTATCCTCTGTGTGTTTTGATTAGTTCTCCCTTCCATTGTTATTTTGGATCTGATAATGTTTTGCAACCAGAACAATCTTTTTTCCTATCTCTTGAATGATGCAGTAGGAACTAATCAGTCTTAAAGACAATAGTAAAGAGTGAGTTCAAACAGTTTATGATTTGTCAGAATCACTGGGTTGTTGTGAGTTTTCTGGGCTGCATAGTCATGTTCTAGAAGCATTCTCTCCTGATGTTTCACCCACATCTATGGCAGGCATTCTCAGAGGTTGTTAAGTCTGTTGGAACAATAACAATAATAAATAGAGTAAAATCATAAATGTAATAATACTAAAGTAAAATAATGGATAATATAGTAATAATAATAATAATAATAAGAAGAAGAAGAAGAAGAAATAGAGTAAAATAATACAAGTAATAATAATAACAATAATAAATAGAGCAAAATAATAAAAGTAATAAAATAATAATACTACAGTAAAATAATGTAAATGTAATAATAGAGTAAAATAAAAATGTAATAATACTAGAGTAAAATAATGGATAATGTAGTAGTAGTAATAATAATAATGAATAGAGTAAAATAATACAAGTAATAATAATAATAAATAGAGCAAAATAATAAAAGTAATAAAAATCATAATACTAGAGTAAACTAATGGATAATGTAGTAATAATAATAGTAATAAATAGAGCAAAATAATAAAAGTAATAATAATAATACAGTAAAATAATGTAAATGTAATAATAACAGTAATAATAGAGTAAAATATAATGTAATAATACTAAAGTAAAATAGTGGATAATGTAGTAATAAGAAGAAGAAGAAATAGAGTAAAATGATACATGTAATAATAATAACAATAATAAATAGAGCAAAATAATACAAGTAATTAAATAGTAATACTAGAGTAAAATAATGTAAATGTAATAATAACAGTAATAATAGAGTAAAATAAAATGTTATAATACTAAAGTAAAATAGTGTATAATGTAGTAATAAGAAGAAGAAATAGAGTAAAATAATACAAGTAATAATAATAATAATAAATAGAGCAAATAATAAAAGTAATAAAAATATTAATACTAGAGTAAAATAATGTAAATGTAATTATAACAATAATGTTCCCATTAGAAAATACACAATGATGTGGGTGAACTATAATTCCCAGAATTGTTGCATCTATGTACTAAGTTTGGTCCAGATCCAACTTTGGTGCTCTCTGGATGCAGATGAACTGCTCTCACAGTCAGGAAGTTCTTCCTAATCATAGAATCATATGGTTGGAAGAGATCTCATGGGCCATCCAGTCCAACCCCATTTTGTCAAGAAGCAGGAATATTGCATTCAAAGCACCCCTGACAGATGGCCATCCAGCCTCTGTTTAAAAGCTTCCAAAGAAGGAGCCTCCACCACACTCCAAGGCAGAGAGTTCCACTGCTGATCGGCTCTCAAAGTCGGGAAGTTCTTCCAGATGTTCAGATGGAAACTCCTTTCTTGTAGTTTGAAGCCATTGTTCCGCGTCCTAGTCTCCAAGGAAGCAGAAAACAAGCTTGCTCCCTCCTCCCTGTGGCTTCCTCTCACATATTTATACATGGCTATCATATCTCCTCTCAGCCTTCTCTTCTGCAGGCTAAACATGCCCAACTCTTTAAGCCGCTCCTCAT